CGTATAAGTTAAATTAGGCTTAAGTCAATAAGTTATATAATAATTTGGGTCTCATGTAATAACATGAGACTATCTGCAAATATTAATTTATATGTCTTTGAAATACCGAAATGTCCGAGTGTATTGGTATTCCAGGCTGGACCAAATCTATTCCAAATTGATTCGATTGTGATCGAACGTTCGTTAAATATTCTTGATAACAATGCATTCATCGTTTGATCAGCATTTGGTCGATAGAGTAATATTATGGCTTTACAATAAATATTGTTTATTTTATTTTTTTTGGCCGTCAGTCTTAATGATGATGCTAATAATGCGGCCAAGTATCTCTCTAATATCGATCGTAATTACAATTACAAGCTTAAAAGTCATAGAAAATAATTTTCCAAATTTTAATTAATCATCACGACTATTGCTCTTTAAAATTGAACGAGTCTTTTTGTAAAAGAACAGAATAAATACATCATCTCTCATTAAAATGATAAATGTATTATTATTGAAATGTGGAAAAGCTTAAGACTATAAATAAATCATTAAAATTGTCGGCAATTAATTTCGTAAAATTAATATATAAAGAATTATGAAATTGATAATTTTGATTTTCGAAACTGAACTGCATTGGACGTGTCGATGCTTCTTCTAATAAATAATAAGGAATGAATAAGGAGAACTCGGGGATAATAATCGCTATAGTTTCGCTACATTTTCGCTACATTTTCGCTACATTCGCTACATCATTTTCGCTACATTTTCGCTACATTTTCGCTACATTTTCGCTACATTTTCGCTACATTATCGCTACATTATCGCTACATTATCGCTACAGTATCGCTACAATTTCTCTACAGTTTCAATATAATAAATCTTCGCTATTACTTGGCATTTCAGTGCAGTCTGCCAGTTACGACTAATCGTCATTACCTACCGAATCAGAATGCGGTCTACCAGAATATTGGACAGAACAACAAGAACGCGATTACTGCCGGTGCTCAGCCAGCTCAGCATCACCATCGCTCGGCATATCCTCCCAGCTGGAATCATCAGCATCAGTCGCAGCATCAGCCGCAGCATCAGCAGCAACAAAGAATACCGTCACAAGAGCTGATTTACAACAACGACGAGAATCGGAACAATCTGCTGATCAACGGCTACCCGAGCGATAATTCCATGTCGCGCAGCCTCACGTGCCAAAGGAGCTGCGAGCTCAATCAGTTTAGCCGAGACTTCGATATGAGTCAGAGTTTGATAGTGGCCAAGACGACGACCTGCACCGAGTTCCTACAAGTCGAAAATTTCGGCTCGAATCCCAGCCTGTCGTGCCACCACAGGGTCGGCTCTTGCGATTCGGAAAACACGCGGTAAGTCGTCCGTTAATTGGCAAATCGATTTCGATTACCATCGGAGAGACCAATAATTGGTCCGCGTTGTCATTGTTCAGCTGGCTAAATTGCCGGCAATGCGACGATGGTCATCGGCGTCTCCCCACCCACTCCCCAACTTCCATTATCATGAAAGTTGAGCCTCAGTCTGAATTCTCAAAGCGGTATTGATAAAATTTTCAGCGTCTTTGGCTCTCATCCGAACGTGAGGCGAATTCAGCCGCCGTCGCCGGCGTTCAATCGCGAGCCCAAATACACCGAGCCCTGGTCGCAATACGGGCGCATTAAAAGCCCGAGCGCGAAAGCCGCGGGCTCCCTGGAGGAGCTACAGGAGCGCCGGGATGAGGCCGAGGGCAGGATGCGGCTCGCCCAGCAGGATCGGATACGCGACCAGGAGCTCGAGCGGCGAGAGCGGATGCGCCTCGAGGAGATCCTGGCGATGTGCGCCGAGTACGAGCGACAGAGCTGCCGATCGAGCGACAAATCGCGTCAGCGAGATCAGCAGATAAGGTACGAGTGGTTTGGTTAGTATTTCGCGGTTAGTAGTTTGGTTTTGCGGTGTCGCGCCGGGAGTTGCGGCGTCTCCGTGAGCGAGGCCGGCCGACATCACGTCTCACTCGAATCCTTCGCTTATCTCGATTAGTCCATTAACCGCGTAGGTGCTGTCGGAGGTACTCTCGCGGGTTCGAGTGTAATCGAGGTGCCCCGATGACTCGAAAGACTTTCCGTGTCCCCGAGGCCTACATAAATAGTTCGCGAATACAATATGCTCGAGCAAGCCAATAACGCTCAAAATGGAGGCTGTAAAGTTGTGTGGTGTGGCTCACGGCGAAATGGATAAAACCAATTTGTATACGTGCGCGAGATCGATTTTTCATCGTTAGCTTGAGCGATTCTCCAGCCCGGTTCTGCATCTATAATCATAAATTACTATTTAATACTCCATACTACAGCCATACATTCATTGTTTTACTTAAATGAAAATGCTAATGGAAACATTAACGTTATTTTTTACAACTTTGTTTTAAAACGTGTCTCGCAACTTTCAATTGTCTTTGAAATCACTTGTTATTAAATGTTACTTTGACTGAAAATCTTAAGATTTAATCAGCATAATGAAGTAGATTCAATCGATCATTAGCTTTGTAGATTTCAGGTTGGCTATATGCATATTTATTTTTAACTTCATTGAATATATTTATGGTATGCATAAGGTGTATTATGTCGGTACTGTTTGAGTAATTGATAATGCGATGGCGAAGTAAAAAGAAAAAAAAAGTCTCTAAATACTGTTTTATTAAAGCTTTATGTCATTCTGTATTAAAAATATATACAAAACTTCATGTCCGATTGAAAATTGCCGTATAAGTGACAAGTGATTATAAGTAATATTTACATTAGCATGAAAATGTAGTGGTAAAGATGTTCTTATATTTCTAAAAATTTGTCTTTGCCACTGCGCAATATCAACCAGCGCTAAAGTTAAATCGAATTATATATGCTTTTTCGAAAATGTATGACCTTATCCGTGACACCGCCAATAACTTCATTGTGACTTATGCGTACCACAACGACACACGGCTTTCTTTTCATAACTTATTGTTAGTTCTTGTATCGTTAATAGTGTTTCGTTATATTGAAAATCTGAACAAAGTTTCTATTTATTCGGCAAACTTCTTACAAACCTTTATTCTGCATATCGTAGTATATGTCTTTTCGGTTAAAATATTGTTGTACATCAGGGGGATTAATTGGTAAATGTTGCTCTAACCATTTTCACGTCCTTAATAGTTTTATGACATTTTAAAATATTCAAGGCGACAGTTATCATTAATTTTCACATTATTTAAATAAACGTCTTAATAAATACTTGAATATTGAAATCCATAAAACATGTAATATTAAGAAATACATTTCAATAAAGTAAAGTGTTCTTTTGCAATAATTATGAAAGAGTCGTTTACCATCGCACAATCTAATAAAAACTAAAAAAAACCTCGTTTGCATTGCCTTTTACATATTTATTTAAAATTTTAAAAGCACTTGGTAATAAGATCCATTGCTCCCGATAAATAGAGAGTCGCTTAGGTCTATTGTAAATAAAGCAAAATGATAATTACATTTGAGTTTGATAGAATAAAGCGGATAATTAATGACATAACAAAGGCTTTATAAAAGCATTTCTACCGCGAAAACCCTTTCATGATTAACAAATTAATTAATTATATCAATTCCCTTGTATATTGTTGCGTGACTATGTCGAGTACCTATATTTGACATGCATTATTAATCCTTTAACTCTGCGAATCGTGCAATATTACATTTATAATAATTAACGTTTGACCAGATTCTTATTTTATTCCCATAAATTTATTATCTACTTTACTCTAAAGTTAATAAAATTCAAATGCTAATTATTCAAACGCCAGCTTCGTTTTTATCTACGTTTATGCGTCTGTATTTTCTACGTATTCTACAAAAATTCAATTTTGCTTCTATATTAAACAACCAAACAATTCATAACTAATTATATTATTATTATTATTATTATTATTATTATGACATTCGAAATAAAATTCAATAATGATGTGAATATTAGATCATGACTACTTACATATTTTATATTTTCCAAATCTCAAAATTTATCCACTTGATTTTGTAAATTTATGATAGTCTCGCATAAATTAGCTGTAACTTTAAAAAATAATATAATTCATTGCTACTGGAAGATTCGGCTCATCTCTAACTTTAAAAGTCAAGAGTTAAAAAACGTTTTCAAAAAAATGAAAATGTTTTGAGAATTGAAATTTGAATAGAATTTATTATTATATGTTATAATATTAGTAAATTAGTATTATTAGTAAATACAATTTCGTTAATTTTTTGTTTTTCGTAATATTAAATAACTTAAATTAATTTAATTGTTCATTCGGAGGAAAAGCAAAATTTAGCTCCCACTTATTTATCTAGACTATTAGGATAAATAAATACTTTATAGTAAAGCCAGCTAAAGCCAATGCAAATAATTATAAAAACATAAAATTGAAATTTTCTCGAAATAGATGTGTAATCCGTTAATCCGTCTAGACTCCGCCCACAATGAAATCTTGAGCTCTCGAACATTATTATTATTATTATTATTATTATTATTATTATTATTTAGATTATAAGTAATATCAAACAGTGGATTAGTTCATTCGCCATAAAAGCAATATGAAAATAGGCCTTGACTTTTCAAATGAACAAATTGTCAACAGTTACGACTCCATATTAATGGATTCGATAAATTACAGGCTTAAGATCAATGGTTCGCTACCACGTGAGACAAGGACGGAGTGTAATAACAGCAGCGCATTTACGGATATTTCGAAAAGTCCGCCGTCGGCCGAACGATCGGAAAACGAGCGCCAGCAGTGGAATCGCGAAGCGACTGAGCGAAATTCGCCAATATACAGACCGACGCCGCCGGTTTACGAAAACATTGTTGCTCGCGAGAATACTGAAAGCCAAGAAGTCTCTTCGTCCAACGATAATTGGGCACCGCAATGGCTCGAGCAGCAGCAGCAGCAGCAGCAACAACAACAACAACAACAACAACAACAACAACAACAACAACAACAACAACAACAACCGCAACAGCAGGAACATCAACAAAACGGCTACTTCTTGCCGCATCAGCAATACCAGCAACGACAGAGTCGCGAAAGCCCGCGGAATTCGAATTACGAAGAGATCGATCCGGGCAGTTATGGCGAGGAGAGGCAAATACATGACCGCGGACAGTTTATAGAGGCAGCACACACGAACAATGGTAAGTTTCCTTGCTATTACATACCCTAATCGAATTTGATACATAGGAATTTGCTAGAAAATAATTAAGCTTCGAATCGTAATTTCAATTTTCATATTTACATTTTTCAATACAATAATAACGATGAGATGAATAACGTAAAATTCTTAAAAACATTCTGAAAATCTATCGCTTATTCATTTTACAGAATAATAATTAATTTAAAGTATGCATCTTATGTACTTTTAAATAATATTATTGTCATATAAATTAAATTCTCCTTGACTGTATTTGATCATTAATGCGCATATTAATGTGATGCATATTCAAACGTTTAGTTTTCAAATTAAATAAAGAATATTTTCTAAATTTCGTTCGTTCGTTCATAAGGATTTTAATGAAAATTTATTATCTTTAAAACGACTTAATGTCAATTGGATAATTAAATATAGTAACTAGAAAACTAACCGTTCAATATTTCGATATTATTGAAAACAAATTCTTTGGGATTATTAAATACTCGTTGGAAAGTATTAGTGATATTAATACGATTATAAATTAATATTCTTCAATCGTAATTCAATGTCGAGGGATTATTAATTTGATATTTATGAAAAATAAATTATTGAACAATTAAATAATATTAAATGTTTGTATATACTTTACTCAAAGTTTTTCAATCATTTCGAATTGAAAATTTTCGTATTTGATATTGATTGACCACTGCAAAGTATTAAACCTACAATGAAGCAATTTTTATTTCATTATAAGCAATTAAGGTGAATTTATTTTACGTTAAAATTACAATGTACATAAGAGAAATTCTTAATGCACTTTATCATTTTATCATTTTATCATTTAACAAACTTAGCCCGCTGATCTTTAATTTTGTATAATTAGATTCTATTACAAATCCACCGCTGCCCGAGAAAAATACAAAGCCTGCATTCCACCATTACGAAAACTTCACACCATTTAATGGGAATATCAGTATTTATGAGAATGTGATCCCATCGTACAATAATAAGGGTAGAAATATTAATAATAACAATAACGGCGCTAATAATACGAGTTCGCCAAGGCCAAAGACAAATACGAGGGACGCGTACGAGAAGATGATCGACAATAAATTGGACGTATCAAACGACGATCTACTCGAAGCTATAGAGCAGCTATCGATGCTTTCGAAACCTAGGAATTCCGGCGGATTTTCGACGACGATTAATACAACGACAACACTACCGATAATCACGACAGTGGTGACAGCAACAACGCCTAAGAGGATTAACAGCGAACACAATAACGCCAAATCGAACGAAGCCAAAGCCGATAAGGAGCGAAAGGAATCAGAGGAAGAGGACCGGAAGAAGTACATCGAATTTCTCCAGAACGAGAAGCAGCACATATTAGGAAATATGGATGGATTGAAGAGAAGTGTGGCTGACATCGAGACCCAAGAAGAGGAGATTAATCGAGAGGTGTTTGTCATTATTTTTCATTATATATGATGTATAGATACGATTAACTTATCTTAAATGCATGTAACATACATAGCGCTTGAATATATAATATTTTCTGTATTTAATGGAAAAATTTTAATCTTAAAAGAAACTCGAATGACTCTGTTTTTCAAAAATATACGTTATCGGCTCTATAATATTCATCGAGAAAATTAATTTTCAATTACAATGTAAAATACAATGAACGTTTCGGTACACAGTACTAATGAAATAATTAATATCTCAATGTCGGAATATTATAATAAATCTGTCAGTTGATTTTCAATCACATGAATTAAATATGACGTATACAGCATGATAATCTAATTTAGAAACCATAAGGCTATTTATGATTAGGATAGTCAAGAAAATATAAAAATACGAATGGACAATGTTAAATTTTACGAATTGTTTTAGTCGGTCATTCAAAGTCGACAACTACTGCGCGAACTCGTAAAATATATTTATTGTAAATAGCAAATAATAGTTGATTGATGAAATTATACGCAAAGCTAAATGGCAAGGTAAACCTATCGATTTGAATTTTACGAAAGACTAAAGCATAAGATTATAATAAAATAAATTATTAATATGAAGAAGAATTTAATGCCTATGATAATTTATTAGCTCCATATATCACAAAATAGCCTATTATTATACTAATTGTTTCTCCTAAAATTTGAAAAATTCTTTGACTAATGAACGAACGTTTATGCCCATCTGTAACAACATATTTTAACTTGAGTCGATAAAAGAAATAAATCTACTTTAAACGTTATATTTTCGTTATATATCGTAAGATAAATATACGAAGCGTTGGCTCTCGGTTACAAATGCCAGAATAGAATAGTGGCTTTGCGACAGAAGGAAAATTTCAATTATTATGTCCCAATGGGAAACAATGAAGTTACTCAACGATAATTCAAGCCTATCGATGATCTGCCCTTACAGCTGGAGCTCGAGGCCGCTCTGCTGTCAGCCGAGTACGAGTCCGAGTCGCTTAAGCTCGAGCAGGAGGAAGGGGAGCGGACGCGAGTCCAGACGAAGATCGGCGAGCTCGAGGAAGATATGGTAGAGAGCAACGCGTCCCAGGCGCATCTGCAGGCGGAGGCGAAGCAGCGTGTGATCGAGGCCCAGCACGCGTGCGCAGACCTCGAGGAGGAGCTCGCGGACGCGAAGGGTCGGGATGACGAGCGTGACAGCGACCTCGTAGACAAGCTCGCCGCACAGACGGAGATCCTCGAGACCGAGAGGAAAGCCTTTGAGGACCTTGAGTTTCATCATCTGGAGGAAGAGGCTAGCAAGCTTGCCACTAGAGAGGAATTACAACGGTCAGTTATGGCTTTCGCTTAAATCATTGCTTCTGCATTTACAATTTGTGAATTTAGCATTGTAACATTAATTGCATAATCGACTAATAATAAAACATAAATTTATTGTCCTAAGATCAAAACTTTTATAATTTACGATAAAATTTACATCGAAACCTATCTATTGTTTCATAACTCAAGACCGTATTTTTTATTATATTATTGTGATATGCTGCACTATATTTTCTAGTCGTAGTTTAATAAAAGAAAAAAAAGAGTATTTATGAAAATAATTTAATACAAGTATAGGAAGGACCACCACCACCACCACCACCACCACCACCCCCCCTCCACCCCTCCCATAAAAGTTATTGGCAAATAATGTTGCAAGACCTTACTACTTACCTAATTCATTTAAACTTGTGAGTTTATTTTTCAAGTCTTATGTATTTTGCTAGAATTTGTGAAAATGTAATTTTCGAAGCTTGCAGCTTTTAGCAAATTAGTGACATTTTTCAATACTAGTAAATAAAATGTAAATAAACATTTTCGTACAAAATTAATCAAAACGAAAATAACGTATTTTACAATTGCAATGTGTTTTACATAAGCGATAAAATCATTAATTTGGAAATTATTTAACATATCGATTGATTAAGAGGACGTTATTGCACAAGTGAACGTCGATGAACTAAAACTTTACCTTAAAATTTTACCAAACAAATAATACGTAGATATTGGTCCAAATGAAAGAGCTTTATTATTTATTATTTTGTTTTTATTTTCATTATTAAAAATGTAAAATATCCACTAAATGACCACGTAAAATTAAGCATCGTAAATAATATTTAATGTGTTTGAGCTTGTGCAGCGTAAATTTGGCAAATAATTAATTTTAATGTACGGATATTTTTTCGATTTTTAAAATTCACGATCTCCATTGCAGATACATCAGCGAATTATCAGCGAAAATCGAAAATAGAAAAATACAACTCGACCAATTAGATTCTCAACGAAGCGACATTAAGAATGCAGTGAAAAAGGAGGCAAAAAGTCTAGAAAGGCAAAAGCTCGCACATCTAAGAAGATTAGAAGAGGTAGCACATTCATTGTCCAATTAAACAGAGCAGTATTAGATCATAATAAAATCTAAAATAGAATAGCAATTTTATTATATATATATATATATATCCTATGCTTAAATTTTCTCTCTGTAAGTGATTTTTATTAACATTGGTCAATGAGCGAAAACACTTAATTTTACACTGTATTTATTGCATCTGTCATATATTGGCTGTAAAATTGCAGTTATTATGGCGAATAATTCATTGTAAATAAATGAAATGGTCCGATGAAAAACCGCATACACTATAATTTATGCATTATGTATTCAGGGTCGCAATCGATTGCGTGCCATTGACGATGAATTGGAAAGTCTAGCGAAAAATGCCATCGATAATGCCGATGTGAAGCGCTCGCCAAGTAGGGAGGATTTCGACAGAATATCGAGGGTTACGACCGACTCGCCAATCGTCAATAATCAAGGCAGTTTGGGAAGGAAAACGATCGAGTCTCTTAAAGAGATCGAACGAAATCGACAGTTACACTTAGCCAAACAAGGTTAGCACTTTAAAACATTTTTCCCAAGCGCTTCGTTTCAAATACTTCATGATAATTAATTTCAACCAACTGATGGTCTAATGGAGATGATCATAAAATCCCCGGCATCGATCGAACATTTGACTCGCATGTGATAATAATGATATCGCGACGGAACTTGCAACAAAAAGAACTTACTATTTATAGATCTGATATACTTGGTTGTTTTCAAAGCAAAGAATAATAATTATTTACCTAATATACTTATGTCTGTCTGCGTCAATTTTATGTTAATAAATAGGTTTTACCAAACGGTCGATAATATGCAAATTTACCATACGCAACGATTAAAGATCCTCTATTAATTATCTATATTATAATTATATATTTTAATTATCAATCGCTTCAAAATTTTCTCAAACTCCAATGTTTTAAAAGCATAATGGCAATTATGTTTAAAAATTATTGTTTTATCGATACAGGTAGTCAAGTGATATCGGACGAAAGGCGTAGAGTAGAAGAACTGAAACGTAGAGTTCAGGACGAAGTTCGCTCACAATGGGAGGAAAGAAAAATGAATTGTACATCTTTTAATAGTGTCGAGTCTGGTGAGGAATCTTCGAGTTACTCGATCGGTCCTACCGAAAGGTAATGCAAAACTTCTTCTTACGTTCCGACAATATTTATAAAATATTATGACTACTTTGCTATGATTGCAAAGATTAATTTCTGACAATCGTTGACAAATGAAGCATTCAGATATTCTTGCGATTATCAATGCGACAATGCAAATTTGTTGTGACGACAGTGTCGTAAGTGACGCAGGAACTCCGTAAAATTGATAAATTAAATAAATTCAAAGTGCGCAGAGCTTAGAGTGTTATTTACAATGATATGCCGATAAAGTTGAATTTTCAATTTATAATGACAAATAGCATTTATTGTGATTCGTAAAGATATTTATGAATTCTCGGATAATATTGATAAGTAATGATTAATGATTATAATTTAGAAGTGAGAATTTAGAAGTGATAATTAAGCGATAAAAATTATGTGCTTAACAAATGTGAAATCAAAGAATCAACTCGGCTATAAAGTGGAAACGAGCACTTTAACTCAATAGGTGCGAATATCCATTTATATCGCTGACTTACATCTCGACACGATATTTCTATCTACGAGCATTTTATTCAACGAAATATTTGTAGAAGACGCGCGTCTGCTCGTTAAAAAACAAACGCCGCATCATTATCATCAAAGTGAAATTAAATTTTATTATCAAGATTGTAGTTTCGTTTATACGGGCACCATTCATTCGTTCTCTATTATATCACTTAACATTGCACTGTAACTGGATCAACACGCTGATAATGTCAAACGTGCTCTCTATAAGCAAAAAGTAAAGGAGAAAAAAAAGTAATAAAGCAAAAAAAAAAAAAAAAGTCGTTCGTTCGTACGAGAATCTCGAGGACCGAAACTGAAAAATCTTCGTCTGAGCAGTTAAACAACTAAACACCCTATTACGAAACACCCTAATCAACAATATTATTTTAATTAAAACGTAAATCAGATTCGACAGCAAATGCGCTTGACAATACACGGCCAACTCGGCAATTATCATTAGACAGAGCCACACGATCGCTTCGCACGCGTCTCTCATTACAACGAGTGGAGACGCAGCGGAGGACTTGCGCTCGCGAATTCCGAGCTCAATTTACGAGCGCGGCGGAGTCGAGAGTGCCATGGTCCGAGCCACCTCTCGCGCTTAGAATTCGAAGCTACGAAAAGGAAAGGCAAGACGCAGTAAGTGCAACCTAACGGTCAACAGCCCGGGCGCAGCGCGCTCTTACCCGAAGGCGGCGAAAAGAAAGCGAGCGCCTGTGAAGACTCGGTCGTTTATCAGCGCCCGACACGCCGTAACGGCCCAAGACGCAATTGACATACGAATTCCGGAGGCGCGCACTCGACAGCCTCCCATGAAAGTAAAAGCGTCGCGGGACGGGGCGGGGCGGGGGACTGTGGCGACAACGACGGTGGCGTTGGCGGCGGCGACGGGGGAGGGACAGCGGACCACGTGAATACCGGTTTCCGCGCAGCGACAATTTCCCTCTCGAAGTGACGGCTCTCGATAAACCAGCTCGGCACTACTGATAAGATACTTTCGCCGGTGGGATTGTCGTCGAGTGCTCGGCCACCGGTTTCCCCGTAGCGGACTCGATGGCGACTTCACGCGCGTCGAAGTGCCAGTCGCGGGTGTCGTCGAGCCTAGGGATGGCCGATTAAAAGCAGCGAGCGAGTACTCTTGTGTTAATTACGTGGCGAATGAATGATCGTTTCGGCTGCTCCACGCGAATGCAATTACGTCGGAAGCTGTCGCGAGCAATTGCGACCATTTAACGGTCCCAACGATAATGTGCTCCTGCATTCCTGCATTCAAGACCAATAGCGCCTGGCGTATTTGTTGGTATATTATATATGTATATGAATTTTACGTGTGCGTGCGTGTGCGCGTGTGAGCATTTTGATATGGCAGATGAATATTCTTATGGCATTTCCCATTTACGTTGCCGTAGTGATAGAGCGAGTAGAATAAGATCTCGGAAAGCTTGAAGGCTTAAAAAACAATATTTGCCAAGTCGATGTAACCTTGTTTTTCCTTCAAAAATAAACGCGCGCCATAGATATAGAGATTTATCGTTATTTGATCGCCCAATTGTTTTACAATATTCGAAGAATTCAAATCGTCCAATATTGGATATTCGCTTATGCGAGAGCTTTGCTATTTTACTTGCTCTCTCACCAGCACTTGCTATATTATAGAAAATTATCGTTTCAATGTTTAATAGTGCCAGTCATTCATTCATTCGTGCATTCATTCATTCATTGTTAACTAAAACTTTATAGAACTGTTATCGCGCGTACGAAGAGATTACTTTTCTTCTATCTTTTTATCGTTATTCAAGTGCTTTGTTCACTCGTGCGACAAAGGTCTGGGAGTGACTGTGTAAATTATAATAATCGAGTCAAGCATTCAGTCGATGGTGAAATGAACGGTTTCACTCGGATAATGCAGTGAATGAATTCTTAGACATAATTGCTTATAATTCTTATACGGAGTACGCTGTTTAGACTTTAAGTATCACTAACACTGCAAGGCTCTAATGACGATCGTTCTCCTATCCGGGAAGAATTATAAGCAAAAATATACGAGGATTAAGAAATTTAGTAAAGAAAATATGTACATAAAAATGTAGTGTAAAAAATCTATCCGAAAAGGTGAGACGACAGATTGGCAAATCCAGCTAATGGCTAAACTGGCGCATCAGTATAAGTAAACGTGCGAGAATCATCCTCGCACATCCGGGAATAAATTGAAAACGTCGGTCACGCTCTATGGCCAACTTCATCCGAAGACGGTTCCGAATGAACCGTCCGCTCGTTATTGGATCGCATGGCGAAGAGGAGCGAGAAAACGACGATGAGCCGAGCCAGTTCACTATAGACCGGAGATAACTCTTGGACAGGATAGAGAATGCTTGACTCTGGACACCAATGGGATGGCAAAATGGGCTACGAAGGGAGAAATGTGGCGGCAGCCGATCGAACGTTTGATAAATGAAAATTTCAATGAAATGATTGAAATGGAGCGGAGAGTGACATGGAATGACGTGGAAATATGCCGCTCCGACGCGTGTTTGCTTGTCTTCTACTTGGAGCTCGCGCATACGACGGATCATTGATAGCTGGAGGGAAAGAAATGAAGTCTAATATACCAACTTGTGAATTAGTTAGAGAAGTGCAAGAGAGAAAAGAAGCTATCCATATTTTTCAACGACCTGGTTTCTCTCGTCACCTATCGTAGACGATAGCAACCGGCCCGCCGCCGAGATGACAACGTCCGATCTTTTACGATGTTATCTCATCCCGATGAATAAGTAACTTAGACTGAGAGAGAGAGAGAGAGAGAGAGAGAGAGAGAGAGAGAGAGAGAGAGAGAGAGACTGTTAAAGAATATCGACGAAGCGATTATTCGACCGACGACGAAAACGCATCTATCGGCGTCGCGCATGCAAATATTATTCCAAAGGATCACCGGATTCCAGTTGGCACAAGTCTTTAATGTGATTCAAGAACAAGCACATGTTCCCTCTCGTCCCTAATGAATATCCAATAAGAATAGAATTATTATTGGTCGGCGTGAGGCAGGGGAGAAGGGACAGATGCATGTCATCTTTAATGTCGCACATGGATCATAGTCAGACGTGAATTAGCTTGGATAGATGATGGATGGGTACCACTGGGAATGACTCCCATTAGACACGTCACATTTATAAATGAATTATCTCTTGTCATACGCGAAAAACTGACCCTGCCATTATCTAACCAGCGATAGAGTGCGGAGATTCGTAATAGATAAAATATTTAGAGAGGATGCCTATCTTTTTATCGTTTCATTATATCAATAATGAGTAAATTGGATATTTTTAAGGTAATTTTGTCAATAACGTATTTCAAATGCTCATGATATTCACAAAAGTGGAAAGGCTAAAAAAAAAAAGATAGCGATAAGACAGCGACGTTAGCATTTGTAACGTGCGAATTTGCCACATCTCGCTAATCCATTGGATAATAAAGTTAATAAATATATCATTAAGTATACATTTATTAATAATTCTTTATTTATACTTATCTGCGCATTATTACGCGGTCCATTTAATTTTAACGACAATATCGCACTAATTTAATGCAACTCCCTTCCACTTATAATAAATAGCTCTATTAATCTCACAAACGAAAAGACAGTTTTATTGCATTTATTTCCGAACTTCGTAAAATGAAAGATAAATGCTGCAGTTCATTACAATTCATGAATTCCGTTTAAGTTTTTAATCTAAAACAACAACAACAACAACAACAACAACAACAACAACTAACGGATATAAAATGATGTTATTGGCCAAGTTGAGATTGGAATACGTTTGTGAATTTTTTTTTTTGTAAGACATGCGAATAGAGTTTGATATTGATTTTGTATTTTTTACAGTGGAAGCGGAAGCAGCGACGGCGCGGATAATGGCACCAATGAAAAATTATCGCCCGGTAAACTTTCGGAATTTACAACACCCAGTCCGGGCCCGTCAGGCAATTCCTACACACTACTACAGACTGATAATGTAAGTATCTCTCCTCTTTTATTTTACATAATCGAGTCGGGACTCATTCGCTCGGCTCGATAAGTGCAAGCGATAGAATAAAATCTCGGTAATGATAATTTTACGCCATTAACTTGGGCCCTTCGATATTACAAGAGGCTTACTAAAAGTTTATATGTTTATTTGTTTGTTTGTTCGTTATATTTTTAAGGCTTGTTGGACTAGAATAAGGGGACAATTAATTGCACGTTTGATACTTCTATCATATTTTTCAGCACAATGATAAATATAAAGGATATAAATTTATTAAAACTTCGCGGTAAATTTTACTGGACTTTGTAATTAATTTGCAAAAAAAATTTGGAGAAAATATTATAAAAAATCACAAGATTATTATTTCACATATTTAATTTTCTTAATTGATTGTACACTTACTATATGCACTTTCAATGGGATAAAAGAGTAAGGCTTGCAAAAAAATGTTGCTCCACACGATACATGAGAAATAATTGAAAGGGCGGATTATATTTAATCTTGATGTTGACTATTTGAACTTTTTTAATTGTATAAAGTAATCGATTTTATTAGCTCGCAATAATTTAACCTTGATGAATTGAAAACTTTTCGCTTTACCTTCCTTAAATATACAAGTAGAGATAAACTATGTATTTAGCCGTTATTACTGCGACAAACTTGAAAAATATTATTTAAAAACTAATATTAAGACCATAGCTCGCGTAGCCTAATTAAATAATATCGTTACCTTAATTGGACAAAAATTAATTAAATGAACGAACGCAATTTAACTTCCTGCCTTTCCTTTTAAATTTAATTAAAGTAAAATGAAAAAAAAAAATATTAAAACTGTCCGACTCTCCTGATATTTTAGAATATCATAAATTCAAAATGCTTCCAAATAAATATAAACATCGACGAAAATGTTAAAGTACAAATGTCTAAATGTTAAACAAAAGTGCAAATATTAATTTTACGACAATATTCATGTGTGGCTTTACGTAACTTATAAGATCTAAGATATATATTATTATATTACTTAAGTGGATCGGCAATTTTAAATGTTCGAGTGGAATTTCCTAGGTCCGTTTCACTTAGTAATGCGCCCTTGCGTCACTTTATTATGTAGGTAAGAGACGGCAGGCCGACGTCCATGGAGACGGAGAGATTCAATGGGAATGGAAGTGGAATTGCCGATGACAGTGGAAGTCGACCTCTTTCTCAAACTTCCAGTGAGCTAGACTCCCTGGGTTCCTTGCAAGTTAAACACCGGGATAAGCCAAAATTGCAGGTATATTGAAAAAGTTGCTTGATAAAATAGTAGGAGATCTTTTGTAAGATCTTTAATCGATCAAGGAGGTGCAAATTATATTTATATTTATTATTCAAACCGTATCTTAATATGTATCGGCAGTAATTAAGAGACTGTTAAAGTTTTTAGATAATTATAAATTTTTTTATACTATATTAGATGACATTGTAACGGTAATTATTTTTGATACATATTTATTGAGATGTTATTTATATCTTGGCTCGTGCTTCATAAAATAAAAGCTTTTAGATCAGGAAATTTCAAGAAATTTTTCTTCAACGAATACGTATTTATGAGAAATACTTTAATTAACTCTTCACAAAATAAAAAAAAAAAAACAAAAAAAAAACAACAACCAATATATATGATAAAGATGATAAATAATATTTTGATATAAAAGAAGCATGTTAAAAAATGAAAATACCACCTGAATAAAAGAGAGTAAAATATAGTATAACTTAATTAGAAAATTATAATAGCTTTGATGTACCGTTAATTGAATATAAAATATTGCTGTCTAAAAATACATAATTAATAATAATAAAAAAACAGCAACAAGCAATATAAATGCTTTCCTTTGACTAAGTACATTTAATTTAAGAATTAAATAAATTAGACGATCATTAGTATTTAACATATATATGTATATATATATATATATATGTATATGTATATGTATATGTATATGTATATGTATATGTATATGTATATGTATATGTATATGTATATGTATATGTATATATGTATAAATAAATTATACGTTAAGACATAATTAGGAAAAACTATAATTACCTTTATAAAATATAAATTAACTCACGTATACTTAAACACCATAGCTTGTCAATTGCATTGACTATTGATTCCATATATATGTAAATATATATATGGATAAATATAATATAATATTAAGTATCAACGTACTTTATGTTAACGACTTTATTTATCAGTAATTATAGAAAATCAATTAATTGTACCTAATATTCATTTAAATATATATTAAAAGGCTGAAGTTTTTATATCTCAAAGTAATTGGAAACAATTATTTTTCAGAGGCCTTTAACAAGGTACTTGCCAATAAAATCGGAGTCTCTGGACTTACGGCATCATATCGAAACAGCAGGTCATCAATTACCTTTAATTCATGACGTCACTGTGGATACAACGAGTTGTGGCGGATATCTTTCTAAAATGAGTAAAAAATTTCACCACTGGAACAAGCGATGGTTTGTTTTTGACAGAAAGCGTAAAACGCTTACGTATTTTAGCGACAATAATTCAAGAAAGCCACGAGGCGTTATATACTTCCAGGTAAATGCTTATTAAATCTATTAAATTAGAATTGTAACGATAGTTACATTAAATTATTATTTATATTATACTTGATGTTTTAATTGACAAATGGCGGAAGTATTTATAATGTCATTTGACCACGAGTTCGACCTACTTAAAATTTATTCAAGCATAAACTTAAAATAAATAGTAAATCCATAAATATCTTAGATTATAAGAAAAGAATTAAATTATGTTTTCAGTCAATCGAAGAAGTTTACATAGATCACATGAATGCCGTTAAATCACCCCAACCATCGTTAACATTTATCGTCAAGACAACGACAAGACCTTATCATTTCATGGCTCCCAGTGCAGAAGCTATGCGAGTTTGGGTAGACGTTATTTTCACTGGAGCTGAAGGATATCATGAATTTGATCCTAACTTATGATCATTTTCGCCAAAACTTTGCAAATTGTACATTAAAATCACATGGATAATTTTCTTAATGTTAAAAATGTTAAAAAAAAAAAAAAAAAAAAAAAAAAAAAACACACACACACACAAAACAAGCTAACTATTTACGATTTTAAAAGAGTTTTATAACGCAATTCCATTATCCGCCATATAAACATAAATTTGCTTAAACGAAGCTCGATAAAAACCAGGTGCCAATGTAATGTATTTTTAATTTAAGGGCATTAAGTGTTAAAACTAATTAAATTTTAGTAATTTCAAATAGTTTCACAGCTCTTAATCTAGTCTTCCAGCACATAGCGAGATTTTGCTTAACTTTATATATAGAGTCCAAGGATGTTATGAAACAGCGATATAGGACCTCTAAAAATTGTACATAAAAATTAAGAAATTTTAAATGGAATGGAAGCTCGCTTATGATTGTGCGGAATTGAGACTGATTTCGAGGATAAAATACAAATCACTGAATTGTGTCTTTGAGAAAATGGCTGCATAAGTGCCAGATAATACACCAAAGTGCATTTATTGTCGGTAAACGTGTTGTTTGTTACCTCTTATAAAAACATTTTCAATCATCATTGATCTTAAATCAAAATAAAACAACTTTTTAATGACGTTCGAAACTTTTACAATTAAAAATAACGTCTTTGTATTAGGTATGTTATTTTATTAAGTATCTTGCCTCTTTCGACGGAAAGAGGTTTCAAGAAGTTAAAGCAGTTAAAAATGTTTATCATTTATTACGTAAGCTTATAAGATTTTTATAAGTTTTTTCATGCGTATCAGCTTTTCTGATATGGCATATATTAAATTCAGGACTTCCTGAATAAACCGATAACATGTATTTGATAAAATATAACATGTTTTTATTTTCAATCACAATACCCATAACATCCATCAACTAAGTAGTGTATATAGAATTCTTTATGTAGACAAAATTGAAAATTTTAAAAATACATTAAATATACTTTGAAATATATACAATAAAATTATATTATTAAACATTGCAACATTAAAGAAAAAGAAAAAAAAAAAAAACCTATGATATTTCAATAATTAAAGATAATCGATTATTTTCTATTAACATTCATTTATATAATTTACATATAAATCATTTATTTTCATTAATTATTTTCACTAAGTGCCAGTAAATAAAACTGCTTCATTGATTCCAATATAAATGTACCCCACTCACTGATAACTTCCAATGATGGATTTTTATATCGTGGAGAGTGTTTGGTGAGTATTACAGTGGTACTTTAAACATTATATTTACTTATAAATTGGCAAAAAAAAAAAGCAAAATTATTCTGTTTAAATGTATAGTTATCAGACAGTTGAGTAATAAATGAATAATAATCGAAATATTTATATTAATTTTGAATTGAAGATAAAAAAATTTATATGTATATATTTTCAAAATGTTGGCGAATAAACTGAAAAATTAATATTTAAGTATCATTGTTCTAAGAGTCATATGGGAAATGTAAAATTTGCTTATTAATTTATTTTACCAAAATTAGTTATTAATACTATACAAAGTTTACTCTACATCAATTCTTTAATTTTTAAATATAAAAAAAAAAATTGTTCCACTTATTTATTCTTTAAGTAATAAAACTATCATGTAATAAAGATTTCTAAAGATTGTTTAGGTAAATGATTGTAAGGGCATATTAATTATTAGGAGTTTCAATTATAAATATCCTTAATGATAATAATAAAATAAGTATTAACTTCCAGATCGACAATGTCTTTGTCTTGTGAATGAAGAACGGTAACATTATATACGTAAATAATGAAAATCCAATGGTCAATATGTATTACAGTATGTGATTCACATTGTAAAATTTCATTTTTCTGAAAAAAAATCTTTAATTTTAATAAATAGTATATTTATCGTTTATAAGTAACGTACGACTATTTACTTTTATTTATAAAAGTTATGTATCCATGAAATGTTGATAAACAAGCGTTTAGATCTTAATATGAATTCTTCTAATTTGAATCTGTTTATTAAATATTTGTCCTATTTGTCACTAGAATTCTAATAGCATAGTATAACGAAATTCTCTTGAACTTTCATATTCAATACAAATTTTGGTAATAATGATTTTTACATTGTTAAACAAATTTATTAAATATATATTCAAATAAATTTTACTTAGGAATAAAAAAAAATACATTAATTTTTACAATAATTATATTTTAGTTTAAAAATTTTTTTTATTAAAAATACATATAAATATATCATAATTATGCGAATTAAATATTACAAAGAAGTACTAAAAATATTTTAATGAAATCCAAATGAAATAGGTCTAGCATCTAAAGTTTCTAGGTCAACGACTACTGCAGTTTGAGTAGCTGAAAATTTTGGAATACATAAGAGACATACTTTTTGACCTTCTTTACCTAAAAAAGAAAACATTGTTTTTTTAAAACAAAAATTATTTTTGCTTCTCATCGTAATTAGAAAAATTAATAAGTATTATATTAATGGAACCTTCATATAATCTTGTCTGAAACTTTTCCATATTGCCAGAAAAATAAATATCAGGACATTCTTTTAAAATAAAAGGATCGCTTTTATAAAATGGCAGGCATGGTACAGTATCTGGTGCTGTCGGACACAAATGTCTCCATTCTAGAGATCTCTCTAACCATTCGATTGGCTCCAAAGTGTCTTTACCGCAAACTTTTTGAATATTCTGAATAGGCTGACCACTGGTTCCAGTAATAATCCTATTAGAAACTTTGCCTATCCACGGATTAGTAACTCCACTCACAGTGTTCAATCTAACATTCAAATACAATTACAATTAATGCAATTAATTAATGAGAAGATTAATTTTTGTTTTATTGAAATGAAAATTCCCATACTTTCTAGCACCAGGAAACAATCCTGGTTGCATTGCTCTTTGTGGCATCATTAGTGCAGTAATATCAAATTCACCTGGCAAGACAGTTATATAACAATTGATGCCAACAGTTTCAAGAAATTTATCAAATCTTTTTACTCCGTTCGATACTTCCTCCGCAGTCGCTGTATCTTCTGCTTTTCCACTGGCATGTCCTGTACTGGCATGATGATGCGAAAAATTTTTTATACTATTACCTGCTATTACAAGCCGAACAACGGATGCTTGATCCCTTTGAACTTTCTCATTTCCTAATAATCCTCCGAGCCAGTCGATAAATAAAGATAAAGCACTGTTTGGTGGATTGGATGCAAATTCTAGACCCGATATAAAAACTAATTTTCCCGAAGATGTGGAATTTGATGAAACTGATGATTGAATAGGACAACCGCAAAAGCACCAATCTTCAACCTAATGTTTAAAATATGATTATTATAATTGATATTAATTAATAGTATTAATTAATAGTCGTACAATGTTAAAAGTAGTATAAAAAACAGTATATGCTCACTTCGAAGGTACTTTTCTTATTTTCCGTGCCAATTACAGCACAAACTACACCAGTAACGGACTCTCTAACATTTACTTGGGATCCTGTTAATTTAATACGTGATGTTTGATCTTCTAGAAATAGTTGGTCATCTTCGGAGCAATAATCTTCCTTTACTTCAGGGGCCGATAATTGGCATTTATCACTAAGATCTTGTAAAATTGAGGGCTTATATTTTTGATATTTGTATAAAGTACCTATAATAGCACAACGTCTTCCATTTTGATCTCCAAGTTCTGATAACGGAATTAAATTAGCATCCGACCCTTAATGTTAAAAATATTTCATTATTAATTTATTATCTCCATTATCATGAATAAGAAGTTGCTTATCATTGGATTTATTTCAATTGTAATGAAAATACGTACCCCATTTTGCTAGAAGTTTCTTTTTAAGTATCGAGGATAATTCTTCGATTCGTTTTAAATATAATCGTGCAAATTGTTTCGTGTAATTATCGTTTTCGCTTGAAAATTGGCTCGTTTGGTCGGAATATTCGGCCGTTTGTCGTTCGAAAACACAGCTATTTTCATCACTATCGTTTTCCTCCTTTTGCATCATTTTCAAAAGTAGTTTTACCCTATCCGCTAACGAATTCGCGAGATACTAATTCAAAATTTAACCTTATTTTATCTATAATAATTAATATTTTGCCGCCATTAAATTTATTCCATTTTCGCGTTTCGGGTTCATTCACCGCCAGATGGCCGCGTCACGATCAGGTGAATTTATCATCGACAAATGCCTCATTTCTAATTTATGCCTAAGATTATTTTCAATTGAAATATTTCCAACTCGGGTTGGTTTATGGCGAATGGCTTTATGGCAAATCCAAAAGATGATTCAATATACCGATAATCTGATTGTGAAATGCGATCGTGGATATAGTATTCCGATAAATTCCAAATCGTATATTTACGATTGACATACGAACATGTGTATATACGTTATATATATATATATATATATATTTTTTTTTATTTTATTTTTGATTTTTTTTTGAGTTTTAGAAATTTTTGCTAAAATAGGTGATACAAGCTACAATCGATACTTTTATACGCACAAACAAAAATGAAAAAATAATATTTGCAATGTTTAGAATTCACTTGTATAAAGTAAAAAATATGCCCTATGTTTTAAACATCCAATTAATTGATATGTCTTTCATCTCCATCTTAATAATGTATTTCAATTTTTATTCGTTTTTTCTTTTTCTTTTTTCATTCAAACGATAGTAATTGAATATTCGAATTATGTATTACGTTTCTTGGAATAATTGAATTTCGATTCAAATTAACGAACAAAATTGGAGCTCGTAATATGTCGAAGTAAAGGTTCAATCAACGATAAAGTTCAAGAAAGTATAATATAAAAGAAAATGTTGAAAAACCATTAGAGTAATTGAATTTACTTAAATGAAATAATAAAATTTACGAAATTATTTAATTTATCATTTATTAATTTCAAGAAGATTCGATGAATAATAACATCTTTATTCGTTTGTTATGAAATAGGTCACTTAATTGCGGCATTTATTGTATTTATTTACTATTTATATAACATAAATTTGGAAATAGGAATAATAAATATTATTAATATTTACGACAATTATTGCCACAATTAGACATACAAATTGTAAGTTAGATTTTATTTGTATAGTATGAAATTTTATTTTACAATTATCTCAGAATAACTAGCAGATGCAATTAATTGATGAATTCGGTAAAACTATATAAAAATCATATTATATAAACTGCCATTTAAAAGATGTACTTACTGAATAATTAATTTTTTTGTTTTTTTTTTTTTGTTTTTTTTTTGTTTTCACTTACATATTTGTTATTGATTGTCTTATTATATGCAACTTTACAGACTAAATGCTACTATTAAAATTATTAATTTCAATCGATACGAAATAATTATTTAAGAACTGCTGTTTATAATTGCAAATGGTATTTAAACATAATTTAAACAAAAGTTTCAAAAATTTTACTTTAAATATTGGGATTGAAAATGATGAAAATAACAACAAAAATTGAACAAAATGTTGTATTTTTAACTGTTATTTTATTACTGCCAAAATTTTGCTTAAAACCCAAAGAAATACTCCGACATTGGTAATTCTCTTACTTAATACATTTATCACTTTAAAGTGAATCTATAATCATAATAACCACAATCAAAATAATATTCATAATAATGATAATAATAATAAACGCGTCTATAGTAGGCATAACCAATTGATGGAATACTCATAATTAATACAATTAAAGTATACTAACTCATTCGTATAATTACATAAAATGATAATTATATGAGTAATTGTCAGAAAGAATAAAAATACAAATTATAATAATGATGATGTGAGATGATGATGATAATAATAATATTGCTAATAATCGTAATAAATTTAATGATAATAGTAATAGTAATAATAATAATAATAATAATAATAATAATAATAATAATAATAATAATAATAATAATAATAATAATAATAATAATAATAATAATAATGATGATGATAATATTTGTAGTAGTAGTAGTAGTAGTCGTAATGATAATAATAATAATAATCACTATTATACTGATGTCGTTCACCAATGAAATCTTAAATTTACATAAGTTGTTTATCCATATAACATTAACACTATTCTCTGTTGTCGATGATGACGAAGAAGTTAATCGATTATATCGTAGTCATAACTGCGTGTGTGCGTGCGCGCGGTCGCGCGTTAATACGTATCAATGCACACACGCATTGGCACGCGCATGCACACATGCTCATACACACATTTTATTATTAATATTTATATACCACTTCTAGATCGTCATCATTGCGAATATGTAATTTATGTAATTAATAATAATCATAATAATTATAATAATTAATTTATTAATTAATTAATCAATAGTAAGCTAATCCTTGCCCAGACACACACACACACATGTATTAATATGTATGTATTACAATGAATGCATCGCAGCTTATAATTCTTTAAATATATAATATATATAATATATATATGCTTTGCAATTATGCACTCGAGTCGACGTTTACACGGGGCGTTAATTTAAATAGAATATATCTTATTGCTTAGATCATTCTTTCATTCTTTATATTTTTTCGATTCTCTCTCTCTCTCTCTCTCTCTCTCTCTCTCACTCTCTTTCTCTTTCTCTTTCTCACTCTCTCATTAATATTGCATATCCTGTGCACCCATAATACAAGTTCTTACGGACAATTTTTATTTCTTTTATCCATGCGCTTCACACCCTCTTATCAAACCAATCACTATTCGTTCTCAGATACAACCCCCTCACCCCCTCTCCTTCACACAAACCACACACACACACACACACACACTTTCTCTGTCTTTTACAATTTCTGTTCTTCACACACACACATACACACGCGCACACGCGCACACACGCACACAATCTCTCTCTCTCTCTCTCTCTCTCTCTCTCTCTCTCGATTCATTTTTTTTCCTTTTTTCAGTAGTAAATAATTCGTAATATATTATATATAATATATATCGTCATAGTCGTAAGAAGTATATAATAATAATCATTATAATATAATTGTAATTGTTTGCTAATTAATAATCGTAGTTCATTACAGCATTACGATGATATGTTTTTGTAGTCCCAATGATTAATATGCACGTAATTGTGCGGCGCGTCGCCCGCGCCCCGTCGGCGATACTTGCGCACGTCGCGCGCGGGCCACGCTTATGGACGGATTTATGTATTTTTTTTTTTTTTTACCTACACTCTCTTCCTCGGTTGCTTCGCGTCGCGCTCATCTCTCTTCTCTCCGCGCACTTCATCAACCTTCGTGCTAATTGAGCTCGATTATGGGCATCGTTAGCTCCCATCGTCGCGCGCGATCGATCCAACCAATCCCAGGGCCACTGTTTCCTTTTGCTCTCCCCCTAACCCTCGGCTTCCTGGCCGTGCTCGGCCGACTCTCACAACATCACCACGACCACGCGCCCCCGACGAGGAACCCCAGGTTACTAGTGCGCGAATCCTCGACAACCAAAAACGTTACTCCGGCAGATTCAAAGCGCCCACGTCATCGACGAAGCCACGGATTGTCTCTTCAACGTATTTATTTATTCGCTTTCTTTGTATTTTTTTATTTATTTATTTGATTTTTTTTTTTTTTTTGGTTTTGTATTTATTTTTGTTTTTGTTTTTGTGTTTTGTATCTTCCACTTTTCTTTCTTTATTCATTCATATCTATTATTATCTCGCATCGCTGCTCAGCTAGGCCCCTATGGGCTTTCCTATTCGCGGCTTACTATTTTTTTTCAGGTGAGCTTCTCCTCGCGATCTCGAGAACAGCCTCTCCCGGTCCGGAAGAATCATTCCCTCGTCGCGACAAGCTCTACTTGCCCCGATGGTCATCGCACGCAAACGAAAATGTCGTCTTAACTTGTTTTTGGATGGAGGTCGTTGCGCTATCGAACGAGGAGGGCACCTCCGCCTCCGCCCCCTCCCCCTCGTGCGCTGGAGGAACGATCCTTGCATGGTCCAATGATGGTCCACTGCTTAGGGCAATTGATCGACCGATCGATCAATGGAGCGAAGCGAGTTAGGGAAATCGGAACTTCGAACCGGACCGCGTTCGATTCACCGATCTATCGCGCACGGTCCTCGCAGTGGTTGTCCCGCAGCTTCGATCCCCGTCTTCCCGATCCTATCACCCGCTATTTCGACCTTTTCTCTTCACTTACGACATTAATAAATATTTCATCGTTTATTCATATATAATCGAATAGTTATTCTATGTAAATATTCATGACCTAAGGCGTCATTGCGACGCCGACATTATGCTACTGCATAACTGTTTTTTTTTTTTATTCTTAAGTATCACAATAACCTCACACAGAAAGCTGTAACTATACTTATTACTTTTACAAGCCCCTTTCTTTATTAATTTTTTTTATTATTGTTTAATTTTCTTATCTTTCGCTTCATTTTCCATGTGCACTTTTCTGCCCTCCCGCGTATTTATTCTCTTGAAAAAACTCGACGCCTTTACCAAAGTAATCCCGAAAAAGTTCACTCCCACAATTTCATGCAGTGTAACTTCGCCGGCATTTACGACAACATTATTATTATTATTATTATTATTATTATTATTATTATTATTATTATTATTACTATTATTATTATTATTATTAGTATTATTATTATTACTATTATTACTAATATTACTATTATTACTGTTATTACTGTTATTACTATTATTACTGTTATTACTATGATTACTATTATTATTATTATTATTATTACTATTATTATTATTATTATTATTAATATTATTATTATTATTACTATTATTATTATTATTATTGTTATAATAATTATTATTAATATTATTATTAAGATTCATATTTTAACGACTCTCTCAAATATTTTACGATGTTTGTTTTTGTTTCTTTGTTGTTTTTCTTTTCTACTTATTTTTGTTCTCTCCTTAATAATTCCTTTGTCTTCGATTCTGGCTGTACGCGACGATTGCAAGTCATTATAATGTTCAACGTAAAATTTCGTCAGTTTCCACCTGAAGTTTTAACGTTAGATGATAGAACGAAACGCTTTCTCGGGAATGCGAACATCTAATTATTGGAAAAGCCATTGCGGGACACGAATGTACACGAAAGCACACGAATGCATAATATAGGAAACCGGCGATCGATCGAAATAATACGTACTCCTGATTTTATACATTATTATTGTTAGTCCGACATTTACAATGTAAGCAGACTACGAAGTCACCAATTATCCCGCTGCTACCAATCGATCCACTCGCGAGCGGATCGAAGCCCAGCCCCTTTCCAGGATAAAATCGAGCGATTCGAG